TAATACCATACAGACACTGTCCAAACGACAAAGAAACCAGCCTTGCTACAGCGTCCGAAATGCCAAAGCAGAAGCGATGCGCGAAGCACAGACACATCGTAAAGAACAAAACATTTCAATGCGAGAAACATGTCATAAGTATAAAGGACAGGAGTTCCGGAAAGGTGTTGCGGAAATACGAATAGAGAATGATACTTGATGTGGGGTGCATAAGCGTATTTCAAACACCTGACCGTCTTGCTGAAAACCCTAAAAACTTGTGTGGAGAAGGTGAACACCATGTCTGCACGTGTTTCCATTTCGAAACCAAGTTTTTTAGAAGCCCAGATCATGAGTGCTTCAGGATTGATTCGCCAGATATCTATACCAGTCATGAATAAACATCCATGAATGGTGCGTGTATGCGGGTAGATTGGAAAGCATGTGGGCGGGCTGCTTGAATGTTAGCCAGGCGCTTGCGGTGCTTTTGGTCTGCAAGCTCAGTTCCGCAAGGCCTCAGCTTCTGCGTCCTTCAAGAGAAAATCGACAGGCAGCTCGCTCACCTCCTGCAAGTCGGAGTGGGAGGGGGGGAGGAGAGCGAAGCAGTGAAGACAGCAGCTTTTTTGCTTTGTGGCCCCCCCGAGAGAGCCTGCATCTAGACTCTAGACCCTCTTTGCTTGTGACTGTCATGTGGAAGCCTAACGAGACGAGGAAGTTCACGATTCAAACATTGTAAACGTTTGGTTTTCTGCACGCGTTGAGTAACATCCACGACTAGAGCTGTTTTTAGTTGAAAGCCAAATGCCCCGCTCCACGGCGGGCCTTTCTGTGTGTATGTATGTATATATAAATAAATATATATATATATATCTATACTTATTTATTTATTGATATACATATGTATATATTTATATTCATACTTATATGTATTTATTTATTTATATTTATGTATGTATATATTAATATGCCAATTTAGCAACATGCACTCCTGTAAACAACGAGCCGCAGCTGCTGCGTCTTGTGCAGCTTGTTCAGCCTTAGTTGGGTCCATTCCGCTTTCGGCTATTCGGCCTTGCAGTGCATCCTGCTCCATGACCCTTATCAGGACGTGCACGCTGAGGACGCACTAAACACACAGATAGGTCACTATGGTAACTGCACACCCAAGTACATCCCAACAGCTTGACGGCAGAACATACCGGTCGGTCAAATTGTCTAGCGAGGTGAAATCCTGCTTCCGAAGGGCTGTCTGGCTTGCCGTTCGTTTTGCAACAAATACTGTCGAATACAGTTCGGGAAATCCCACTTGCGATTGGCAGCTGCTGCGGTTGGCAGCTGCCTTGTTGAGGCAGGCTTTTCGGACTGACTGTTTATTCTGGTGATTCTGTGTATTGCGGTGTCAGCAAGCGGCACCCTTAATCGGAGAGTAGGTGGACTTTGCGCCAAGAGGCTTCTGCCGCAAAGGCTTCAGCTTCGAGTGCTGCAGCTTCCGCAGCAGCCGCCAAGTCTTCCTCACCTGGCTGAAGATGCGGTCATGTGCAGGGGGCAGAGCACTCGGGTTGGACCCTCTGCTTGCATCAGCATGTCCCTCGCAGGTGAAGACTGACTTGGTGAAGAGGCCTCCGGGAAGAAAAAGCCCATCGAGGAAGGCCCACAGCCATCAAGTTGCTCGGACACTGAGCCGCGAGCCGCTCCCAGCAAGAAGTCAACCGGCGGTAAGCTTTCTCGACCGGCAGATCCCTCGAGAGCCTCGCAAGACGGCGAGAGTCGCTTCCATGCAGGCAACCACGCACCGTGACCGCCGTCACCCACCTCTTTCTGCCCTATAGAAGTCTTGGGATCACGCTGCGGTGAGCAAGCCTCTCTCCAATAGCAACGCTGTAGCCAATCTGCGCATGCATCCGTTTTCCGCCTCTGCTTGGATCTGAGCCAACGCGGCTTGCCCCATGGCAGCCAGCGAGGCTAGATCCTAGGCTCAAGGCCAGGCGGTCGCTGCAAGTCTTTGAAAGTCGCATGCTGTACGCTTTGCAGCCGAAACACTTCCGCGCTTGGCGCCCCGAAATCATCATCACCGGCCTCGACCTCCTTGCGTTTAGCGGATGATGTAGGTTCCGGGCCTTGGCATGAACAGAGGTGCATCTACCGGCGCAAAGTTGGCCAAGTTCTCCCGACTACTGCGGAATCTAATTGATGCTCCGTCTGTGCTCTGCAGCTTGCAGTAACTAGATCTTCGCACCATGGCTTGTACAAAACAACGTGGCTCAGGCAGCGTCTGAGCGTGATGAGATCCAGAGGTGCCACATGCCGCCGGCCTTCTTCCAAACTCGCCTCGACCTGAAAGCAGACAACGGCACTTTGGTCGCTGCCAGAGAGAGAAGAAGCCTCCATCTCCGGCAGCTCCTCCATGAGCACATCGAGCCTCCGTTCTAGGACCGTTGCTGACCCGCGTTCAGACTCTTTCAGAAGTCAGCTTCAGCCACTAAGCCCGGCTCCCAGCAGCCCCAAAGTCCACAGGCTGCACCTCGATGTGGCCAGCTTTGCCGCCAGCTTTCCGCATGCCATGTCACACCATGCCGGACCTTCTGCAGGTTCCGCAAAGTCACGGCCTGCCGAAAGCCCCGACTCTTCAGGTCTCTTGAAAGCTAGCAAAGCCACCGAGGCTGCTGCTGAAGCAGCCAACGTGGGGACGGTCGGCAAGCCTGAACCTGGCATCCGGCTCGGGCTCGAATGCGCACGGCCAGGACACCACTTAGGAGCTCACCGGAAGAGATGCTGGTTTGAAGCGAGGTGCGCACCTGCCAGAAATGCGTTAAATGCCTTTGTGTGCCTCGTGCGATAGACTCGGCTTGCCCTGGCCTCGTCGGCTTTGCTCTCGAGATCTTCCGCCTGCACAGCGAGCTTTCAAGCCCTCGGAATGCCCAGACTTCATCCTCCTTGTGCGCCTGTCTTAGCAAGATCCTCAAGATGCCCAGCATCAGATGACCTTCATGGTTTCAGTTGTGGGACAGTGAAAAACCGCGAGGCAACCGAACGACGTCCCGCAGCGAGATGCCGAGCTAAAGCATCTCGACAGTTGCGCAGTGCACGCAGACGTGTCAATGTTTCGGTTCACCCACCGGCCAGAATCGGTCAAACATCATGCCAACGGTCGGTTCAGTTATCCTTCAGCCTGTGCTCGCTTTCAGAGAGGAGCACTTGCTATCACGAAGCTGGAGAATGTAAACATGTCAACGGCTGCATAACAGCATTGCGTGAAAGCTTATTCTGCGACCAACGCCTTACTTATACAAGCGCATTGGCAAGATCAAGGCGTAAGTTGCCTGTTTTGAGAACGCGGACATGTCGGCATCAGAAATGTGACTCACCCCCTTGCTCATGTCTAGGCGCCCTTGCGCAATCTGGGATTACTGCACATCCCCCTCCAGCGTGTCGCCGTCCCCACCCTTATGTCAGAAACCAGGGTGGGCCAGGGAGGGAGAAAAATCTGAAGGCACGAATCCTTTTGCCTGAGCCAATGGTCGTCGATGCATGTCATGCCTGCTACTATGCCTGTTAATGTTCGCTGCACCGAACCTGCCCAAGCCTGACAGCAATCGCAGAAACGCGAAGCACGTTTTGTCTCTCAAAGCATACACCGCCATCTAGAGTACAACAGTACAGCAAGGCAGCGTGCAAATCCAACGGGGCAAGTCCCCAGCAATGTGAGCGATGCAGAAGTCAAAGCTGCAGTGTTCAGGGAGGCAAACGACTGCGAATAACGGTCGGAAGTCTGACCCGTTTTGCTTTGATTCCGACAAGCCTTCGTGCACACAAACATCTGCACATCTACATGCCGCGGGTCGAAGACGAGATTTTGTTGGGAGGTCTTTGGTATTCAGGTTTGGAGTACTGCCCATCCTCTGCCCGATCTTTTGGCATCTGTTGAATCCTCCGACGCTCCACACCCTCTGAAAGCGGCCCCCATACCAATCACAAACAGCAAAATGCATTCCATGTACGCTAGCTATCAACGATGCTTCCTCAAAGCTTTCTGATGTGTACTCCTCGACATCCTTGCTACTGACCGTAGTCTGATTGAATTTTGCTGCCTGCCAACAGAAGTATGGAGAGAGATTCCGAAGGCAAGTCCACACTGCAAGGCTTGGACGACCGGCCTAGGCACCTGAGCGGAACCACACCTGAAACAGCCACGCGCGTGTCTTCCAAGCAGCGCTCAAGGATCAGGGCTCCGGCTTAGGTTCTCGAGCAAAAAATCGCAGGTGCTTCTGACATCCGTGCTCCTAAACGGCAATCTTCAGGGTCTGTCATTCCCAAAGCATCTTCTGAGTGACTTCTTTAAACTGGGTGGATGACAAGTAATCCTGGCCTCAGCATCAGGGCTGGCGCTATGGAACATACAAGGCGCATCCTATTCGCACGGGACAGCGGCGCTTGAGCCTGCGCTCGTAGTGGCACGCCACCCATGCCTCGCAGAGGATTCTCGTGAGGGCGTGCGATAGCTTAACCTCTTCGCAACTTCTGCGAAGCCTTCCATAGAAAGCCTCCTTGTTTCACGAGAGAGACCTGATTGATAAGCCGCACCAGTTTGTGAGGCCTTCGATCAAGGAACCTGTCTAGCATATACCGAGGTCAAGGCAAAGTCCATGGTACCTGCACCCGAAAAAACGACGTGAGACACGGGGCATCCCTTCTGCAGAGAGGTTGGCCTGTATCTCCATACAATGCAGCCAGAAATAGCCGGCAAGGATGATATACAACTGTTGTCGTCTTGTCTTCCCAACTTGAATTCAGGCAATGCTGGTGTGCACAAGACATGCTTATCCGATGCACTTCTGCGCTGGCGATGCGGATGGTAAAGCAAAAAACTTCAGGTCGCGTCGGCCATGTCGCCCCGAATACGGAGCCGAAACAGCGGCAAGGCATAGACGTGGCATAACCCCTTATGTAATACCTCGGCGTGCCATCTACTGCAGCGAAGGCGAGCATTGATCAAATGTGTTCTGCAAAACTTGGCAGCAGGCTTGCGATCCAGCAGGTCCATGACATCCTGCATCGATTTCTACATAGTGGGCTTTGAGTCTCCAGAGTCTGTGCTCCTGTGGGTTGACCGTGGGCCCCTTCTGCGCCAGAAGCAGCTGGGCCTGCAAAGGCTTACATCAACCTTGCGATCCCTTGCAGCTAAGGGACATGTCTTTCTGGAAACTTCGTATGAATTCTCAAAGGAGGCCCCGACCAGGAGAAGTTTTATTTTACTTGTTCTTCCCTCATGCTGTCTCCTGGGTCCCCGGTGCTGGCCCGAATGCTCCAGTGCCTCTTTCAGCCCGGCGCTCGGAGCAAAACTTTGAGCCTGCAGTAACTGCAACATGCGCAGTGAACAACTAGTAAACAGATTGATACAGATTGTAAAAAGTCAGAAAGCTCCCGAATGCTTAGCAGCGTTGCAGCTCACACCGGCCTGCTTCAGCCAATTGTTGGCCTCGACAACCTGCTTGCGCACCAGATAACCTCGTCAAGATTGCCCAGGGATGCAGGTCTGAAAATGTCTGAAGCTACGTCGGCGACCTTTAGCGATGCTTTGGCAGACGTCTGCCATTGACACCTGGGATGACTGCCGACGTGCCGTGAATGCATGAAGCCTTCTCAGTGCAAGTCCCAAGGAAGCCCAAGTCGCATCGCTTGGCAATCGCAAACTCGTGAGCCAGCGCTCATCTGCTGACCCGGCTTGAAGCTGCAGCTCCTGTCTTTACACCCAAAACTCCGGCACATTCTGCGCTGCAGAACAGAGTGACTGTTGTTTGGACACAGGCACAGGCATGCATTCGGCAGTAGATTTCTCAAGCTGAAATGCAACGGAGCAACACTAAGCACCAAGAGTATTGATGACACGAAGGGAAACAAAATCAAGAAGCCTATGCGGCGTCGCATGGTAAGGAGCGATCTGCATAATGCACGAATTGGGGAAGCTGCCCCAAGAGGTAAGCCCGCAAACCGCATCTTGGGCTCGGGAACGGCAGAGACGATCCGCTTTGCAGAATATTGCGGGATGCAACGGAACATGTCTTCGCCCGTCCGCAAGCAAGTACCAGGCATCCATGTGCAAGGGGACGAAGCCTCGGACAAAATGCTATTGAAGTGCATCCAACGCTAAGTCCGTTGTCAAGTGTTGTGAGGCTGGGCGCAACACGCAGCAGGCCTTCACAGCACTGCCTGATTCGGCAGCTTGTTCCAACGGCATGCACAGGTCCGGGCACAGCACGGGGTCGGGGTGGCAGGAGCGGCAGCAAGCCTGCACGATTCATCTTTTCGCAGTTTGTACCTCTGCAGCTGGGCGATGCTTCTTGCAGGCGAAACAGCTGCAGGTGGCCCAGATAGAAATGCAAGGGGCACTTGACCAGGGCAAGCCATCGAATGGCATCCAAGTCTGTCCTGTCCACCCTGGCAGCCAGTGAGTGCACAATGTGTGTTGAATGCATGCTCAGACATGGTGCTTGCAATGTCGTTGAGGCACATCACAGGCCCGTGTGCCAGACAACATCTGTTCGGCATAGGCAAACTCTTGCAAAAGTGAGAGGAACAAAGAGCCCAAGCCACTCGCAGATTCGGGTGAACAGACGCTCCGCTTCATGCCAATTGGACTGCCGATACCTTCCGTGGGCCGGACTGACTTGTGTCGCTCTCTTCGTCTCTCTCTGGACCCATCTGAGTGAGCGCACGCTAGCTGGCCCAACTCCATCAGGGAAGGGAGGTGGTTCGGCTCCAGCTCCAATCCACGCGAAAAGCACTGTGCAGCCTCAATTTCGCCAGGCACTCGAAGCCTAGTCGTGGCACTTGGGCTACTCCGGATATCTCCGGATAGTCTTTCGTCTCCACATCGCCGCCTTCTGCTGCTCCCCAACACGAGCATATTCCTCCCCGAGAAAATGCATCACCTCGAAACGCAGCACGGAATGTTCAAAATTCATCGGAATCTATGTCCCGGACTTCCGGATGCGGATGAGAATGCGCAGCGGACTCCGCAAGCGAGATCGCCCGTTCGTGATCCTGGGGCCCGGCCGCACGGCTGTGGTACAGTTCACTAAAGCTGTGAGGTGGCATGCAAGCAAGTGGGACGAGCTCGCGCCTCAAGCTCTCGGCAGGCCTTTGCTCCGTATGACCGAGCCTTAAAAGAAGGTAGCGCCCATCCCGTTTTTCAGGCTTGCTCTCCGATGGCACAGTTGGCCTCGACAGCTCTGTGGTCATTGTCGGGAACCCGGTCAAACTCGATTACTGCTTGTCGATACCTGTCATAGCAGCTTAGGACTGACAGCACCCTGCAAACTGGCCAGGATGCAGAGCAACAACATCTACACGAGCGCACTGCTTCAGGAAGAAGTAGTCCTCGCTTTCTGACAACTCTCTGACAGAGCTGCTCTACTGTACATGGCTGCGCAAATTGATTCGCCTTGCCCAGCGCGAAATGAACATCTGTGCGTCCTGGCGCTAGGGTCTGACAAGGTAGCGTGTGAGCCTGTAAGGACAAGGCAAGGCTTTCCAACAGCCTTGCCTGGACACAGGGATTCTAGGATGTGCTTGTAGATCTGCGCTGCCTTCCCGTACCTGAAGCATGCCGCGGTTTGCCTGTCAGAGCTCAAGGACTTGCCTCCAGGGCTCACTGCTTGGTTGCCTCATAGCACTGGGCCAGAGAAATGTGCCCGTCTGGGCTGTTTGGCTGAGTCCTCTTGCTACAGACCACCACCTCTATTGCAGACGGTTGCTGTTAGCTTCGTCAATGCAGTCCGTACAAGCGTCTGAAGCTGCTGGATAGCACCTGACGAAGGCAGGCCCTTGTGTGCCTGTGTGCTATTGCAGCATTGCACACATCCGCCTTCAAAATCCTGAGAAGTCTTCAGGATGTCACCCAGAAGCCACAATGCCTGCGAGGTCACAGTCATCTCAGCAAGAACACGCAGCAAGTAAGCGTCCCTTATAGCCTTGCTGTGCGTGGGCTCAAGCTCCAAGACCTGCATGAAGAGCTCCCGTGCGTGTGGATATCTCCTGGCAATGCATGCTAGTGCGGGAGAGGCGGCCAGAAGAATGTGGAACTGGCGTAAATGCGCTACTGTTTCCAATTTCGTCCGTTTGTCAAGGTGGTGAATGCTAGGCAAGACTGGCCAGTTGCACTGCCGCTTTCGCTCCACCCACGCCAAGGAGAACAGAGTTTCGACCTCGTTGGCGGTGACTTGTGGAGTCAGCACGACATTGCTCCAGATCAAGCGGGTGCGGGGCATCTTTCGGATCCTGTCTGTGAGCTTTCTCGTACCTCGTCAAGTATGTTCAATCTCTTTGCTCACGACATACCTCCACGACTCTGTGCTTATATGCCCTTGCGTGCCACTCATAGGCGCCGTTGTAATCCTGGCGCTTGGCATACACAAGTCCAATGTTATTCAGGATCTGCACCTCAGCTGAGCGGTTGGTGCATGGCAACACGAAGCCGCACATGCAAGACAAGTGCTGCACGCTTGCGGGCTCGTAGGCCAAAGCTTGCTTGAATCGTCGAATTGCCTGCCGCCGCGACAGCGCTTGATGCAGTGAAATCTTGGTATCCCATCTTTGCGGCAAGCCTCGTCGTAGTGACCACTGCTCAGCAGTTTCACCCCGTGAGCATTTTCCTTCGAAGCTGCTGATAGACAACAGTTACTTCAGATATTGGCAAGCAATCTGTACATCAGCACTCCTTGCTGTAGAGGCCCCTGACCCCTGCTTTTGATGCGTGTGCGTTCTCTTCTCGCTCCAAACATTGCTGGCACAACACTGTCGGCATTGAATCTCTTCACGATGTAGACTGCGTCGGACTTCTTTTCAAGATGGTCGGTACGCTGCATGCTCGACATGCAGACTGCGGGAATTCGGTGGTCCTAAGACTTCGAACTTGGAACAGTCTCCAATGATGCAACCCTCCATGCGATCGCGTCTGTGGAAAGACGTCTCTCACATCGCAGCTACAGCAACGCAATCAGTCAGCAATGGAGGTCGCATGGAGGGATTGCATCGGCAGTTGCAAACCAAAGCACCTCTGGACCAACAGGAAACCGATTGGCTACCAATGAGTCAGCTGGGGAGAGCTTGATAGAAAAGTGTCGACTAGAATTGGGTCCCTCTAAGCTGGATGGCGCTCCCTCCAACACAACGCACATGCGACGAACGAATCTTGTGAGCAGTTCCAACGACACGTGCAACTCAGTTTGGAATCTCAAGCACACGACTATCATGAGAGGTTATCAAAACCTCTTTTCAATCCGTTGACGCCATCAAACCCTTGCGCGTTTATGGTGCGCGCAGCTTCCGCGGAGCCAACTGTCCCTTACGCGCGGGCCCTTGAGTCAGCTCTTAAGCTTTAAGCCTTCCGCGCGCCCTTCCGCGTTTCTGTTATCTGATAACAATCATGGTTTGTCCTTGCTCCGACAAAAGTGACTACGCTAGTTTCACTACAGAAAGGATCACGGCGGTCGAAGGTATATAAAATGATCAGTGTGTGCACGGCATGCATGTGGCCAGCGAGGAATCTGGAATGATAACGCACAAACAGTGAGCTCCTGCGCTGCCTCGCTGTCATCTCTGTTGACGCCTTGGAAACTGCGGTGTGGTGTGTCAATGGCAGCGGAACCGATTGACGTGCGCCTCTGCTGTTGCTGCTGCTGCTGCCTCCAGGCTTTATAGAACATGACCTTTGACTTACGCTCTGCCTCCGTCGAGTGGCGTCTGGAACAAGAACACCTTCATCCGCTCCCTACCACCCCGTCTTGCATGAAGCATCACACCCGCCGGAATCCACCACGTGCCGCCTCTGCTGCGCCTTTAACAACTTGCGAATAACTTGCATATAGCTTGCATATTGCATATAGCTTGCATATAACTTGTGTATACTTGCGTCTTGCCTTGCAGCCTTGCAGCTGCTTTCTGCATCCGGCTTCTTCCGGGTTGCCGAGGCGGGAGCGCCGAAAAGCGTTTACTGTCACCCTGCGCCTCCAACGGCTTCAACAGAAGCAAGGCGTGGCGCTCTGCCCTTGACGGCCAGGATGCACAGCTGCAATTGTCAACTGCCAAGCAAACTGCTGCACCTGCAGATACCCCTTGGCATCGGATCTGGCAGCTCCTCGTACAACGAAGGCACTCATGTTCCAGCTCATTTGCTCAGGTCAGGTGCATGTGTTGTGGCACAAGCGGTGACCTCTGGCTGCCGGTGGTCTGGGTCTTGCAATGTCTTTGCAGGTGTCGCATGTTGCTGTCCAAGCGAACTGTTATAAAACAAAAACGTAGTTCTCACGCCACGAGGACCCTGTAGACAACTAAGCATCGACAGTGCATCGATCGACAGCTCTCAGCATATCGAATGGGAACAGAAGTTGACCACTTGCTGCACTTCTCCTGCGGCATCTCCAACCGGCGAGTTCTCAACCTATCAAAAAGTCTCTGATCTGAACTTATCGCACCCAGAAGCGACAAGACCAGCCCCTGACAACACGCCTCTGCCAACGTGGACACATCACTTACCCCTTGCCTGGGCAGGAGTGCGCAATAATGTGCAGTACAAGCGGTCTGTCTGATATCATCTGCAAGAAACACATCTGAGGCCCCTTACCCCATGTGCTGTTCACAGCTCCATGCAGGACAGTGTCACTCTTGCCATCAGTTTTGTATCATGACATTCCGTAGCAGTTTCTTGCAAGCTTTCTGAGTTTGTGTCTGACTGCGCACACCATGGTCTTATAGGTACAGGATGGCTGCTCCGGGCTGCGTTTGGGTGTTTTAAAACTGCACGTGCCAAAAAAGGCAGCGGGTGGAGCATGCACCAGGCAAGAACCCGGTCAGAAGCGGGCTACCAGGCCATGTTTGTCTTTCATAGGTTCCAAAGGACCGCATTGGAAGCTGTTCCAGGAGGTACACTCATGTAATGGATCGGGGTCAACATGGTCAACATCATCGCAGTGCATCAGGATGAGCTGGCAAAGGCACGTGTTTTTCAATTGTCTTCGGGATTTGTGAGGGGATTGAAGGTACCATGTCATGGACCGAGATCTGCAAAGAGTATCAACGATCGAACCTGCGAATTGTTTTCCGTGTGATCTTTGCGGCTTTACAGACCAGCTCAGTTTTCAGCAGCTTCGCCAGTCATGCCGGAGAACGCGTCGCGAGGGTCCCCAAGTTGCACGCAAAGGCCGTCAACGATTGCAGCCTGAACAAGCAGCGTGACAACTGACAACCAGAACAGAGAGGTGACAATTAGAGCCAAGGCGCCTCAAATGAGCGCAAAGTGTGCTGTTCGCACTCGGGCAGAATAAGCAGGCGGCAAAGTTCTTGCCCGAGTCTGCGACACGAAAGCTCTTCAAATAGAAGAATGGTGCGCATCCAAAGCTCGCCTTTGCAGGCCTGGACGCGAGTTTGACACTAAGTCACTACGTCATTAAAGAGCAGCTGTGCTGACCGACTCACTGCTTATCAACATGGGCATGATTAGATAAGCCTTGGGTCCCAGGCGAATGTCGGTTTGAATCACGAAACCCCATGTCGAGGCATTTTTCGGCGAGCTGGCAGACGGAAAACCAGGCAAGCCCTGCTGCTTGGCTGTTTTTACCCTTGGTTCTAACAGTACTGTGACGATACGTTCGGATGGTCACAAGTTGTCGATTTCGGAAGAACCTTCGGCTCGTAAAAGTGTTTCGCCTGCATCATCAAGCACCCGAGACATCGGAGTCCCGAACTCCTACACTGGAAGGGGGATGCGCCGTCCAAGAGCAGGACCACAGCCCACCGCGTGTGCACAGGAGTGTCGCGAAAGCACGAATTCAAGCACACGGGTGTTTAGAGCAAGATTCTGGCACTGCAACAGCACTGCGGCGAAGAGCTCAACTTGGGAACGAGTTGGATCAGCACTGGCTTTGACTGACTGCGAAATCCAGCCAGGACTTCACGAATGCTTTTGAAATGCACATGTGTTGCACTGACACCAGCCAGGAGGGCGCTCAGCCTCTGCTATGTCCTACGTTGGCATTATCCTAGGCACACCTGGAACATCGACGCAGCTAACCAGGGCCGCACTGAACGGCACCGCACCCCTGTCGCATGATTCAAGGCACTGTAGCTGGAGCCTTCATGGAGCACAATGAGACCTAGCCCATGCGTGACCTTGAATTGTTTCGGGGCCTGCACCTTGAGAAACATCTGCAGAGACCACATGATTCTCTCTGTCAGACCAGGCCTGCATGGCCACGCTGAAACTGATTTCATCTGCGACAACTCTTCTTGAGGGCATACTATGCAGCAACGCAAGCGAGTCACACCAGCATTCGGACTGGGTACAGGCGCTGATGGCCGAGTTGCAGCCTTGGCATCATGGCGATTCTAAGCCCGTTCATGCTGACTTTCTTGTCTAATGCCTACCTCTGCTTCTGAAAGTCTAGAGCTCATGTTTTCTTTCTGCGGCTTCGCCACTCGCTGTGTCGAGCTTCAACGGTTGCGCTTTGTCAAGAAGATGCAGAGCCGGCTCCCAGGGTGAATGTAGGCTTTGCGTCTGTGGGGTGCAGGCACTGATCAATGCCCCAAAGCTGGCTCTGTCTTGCGATATCCCGGCTGCTTGCGTGGAAGTGGACAGCTCCAGAGCGCATGCCCAGCTCGAAGCTTTGCTGCAGACAGCCAGAAGCGAGTTCTGGGTAATCATGTCCATGCGCACTTGGCAGGAGATTGCGTGCAGCATGGTGTACGCTCTCTGCCAAGACTCGGATGCACGGCTGAAAATGCAGCAGCTCATGGCATCATGCGCCAGAGCTTCGCGCGACATGCAGGAAGCCAAGGCGAAGGACTTTTGCCACAAAAGTGCAGACTGCGTTGCAAGCATGCAGGCTGCGTACGTGATCACATCTCTCTGCACAGATCTACACGGCAGCTGGTGGACCAGTTCGAAGGCCTGCAGCCATCTCACCTCAGTAGCCAGCGTATCCATGAAGGAGTTCCAGATCAGCGAATTGGGAGAAGCTCCTCGAAGTTGCATCGTAGACAAGAAGTTCAAGCCCTCCTGCCACGTCCCGACTGCCAGTGGGATTGCCGAGCCATGGCTGACTATGTCCGGCTCCAAGGCATGTGCACCGAAGGAGTCAAAGTAGGACAGGGATGCTTGCCACAGAGGAACGGCATTGATGACAGTGTTGGCGGATATCTGATCCCAGGGAAGTCGCATGGAACCCATTCTCGTCAGCAAGGACACGGCGTCCCTCCATCGGCAAAGGCCCGATAGAACATCAAGGTACGAGTTGGCCGTTCGTACGGACTCGGTGACATGTAGGCCCTTTGTGCCCTGAAGGGCCCGAGCCCAAAAGCGTGCGCCTCTTTTGCAAACACTGAGAACCTCTGATAAACTTACTGCATCCGGCTGTATCTCCAAGCTAGTAGAAATGCGAAGAAACCAAAACGACAGCTGCCAACGGCTGCTGGCGGTGCAAGGAGCCAGGAATGATTTGGTGTAGCTTCTGATGTCTGCTCGCATATCTCTCATACGGCCGAGATACTCCAGAGAACACCGCCAACGGCCACCTTCCACGAACGCTCTGGTCGACACCGCGGCTGTCATCACGTCTGGAACAATAAAAGAACGGTGCGTGGCTCCAATGAGTCGCACTGCCTTCTGCCAACTGCTTACATCCAGAAAGGATCCCAAAGCGGCATTCAAATGCCACACGTTGGTCTCTACATGGTTTTTGTGCATGCCACGAAGGATGCCATCAACCACCCCGCTGCTCCGTGCATCCTGCAGCAGTCTTGTCACATGACTAGGCTTACTTTGCCACTCGTGGCACAGGCTCTGCAAGGCTTGTTGAACATCCGAGCTTGAAGGATTCGGCCCCAGCCGCAGAATTATATCAAAGTCTTTGTGTCTCTGTTGTGACTGTCTTGGCCGCTTGCCCCGTGTCTGAAATCTGGGATCCAACCTTGCTTCAAGGGCAGCTTGAGGTTTTTGGTGCATCTGCCCGCTAGGCAGAAGGTCATCAGCCTGGTTTCGTGCAGCGACTGGCAGAAGCGCTCAAAGTTCGAGGTGTGAGCGGCTTTCATCCCAAGGTGGTGACGTACTGGTACACCACTCACATCACCTCCACAGCGGCAGCAGCAGCACCGAACGAGTGGAGACTGAGCCAGAGCTGATCTGCGCAAGGCCTGCGAAGCTGCCACGTCAACCCCTGCAAGCTCCACTGGCATTAACAAAGTCCCTCGACAAGTCGTAACTCGGCAAAAACTTCGCGACCCTCGTGAACCGGTCCTATTCTTGGTCTGCTGGCAACGGATACGAGGTCTTCCCTAGACACCTCTTCTCTAGATTGTCTTAACCACAACTTAAGAAATGTCACGCCTTACTCTCGCAGAAGGCCGAGTTGATTCGGTGACGGTGTGTATGTATGTAGGCATGCATACATGCATGTATGTATGTCTGCCTCCATGTAAGCATGCGTATGTGGACCTGTAGATACAACTATATAGATATACGTGTATGCATGCATGTATTTATGTATGTATGTATGTATGTATGCATGTATGTATGTATGTGTGTGTATGCATGTATGTGTGTATGTATGTATGTATGTACGTACGTACGTACGTATGTATGTATGTATGTATGTATGTATGTATGTATGTATGTATGTGTGCATGTGTATATGTACATGTATATGTATGGGCATACACATATGTACATGATGTATGTGTGTGTGTGTGTGTACGTGTGTGTGTGTGTGTGTATATGGGTATATGCACATGTCTATGATGTATATGTACATGCATACGGATATGCATATGCACATGTATATTTTATCATGTGTACTTGTGTGTATATATATATATACAATATATATATATACATATATATATATACATATATATATATATATATACATACATACATACGTACGTACATACATGCATACATACATACTGGGTGTACTTATTCATCTCTTCTTCATATATTCATTCTTTATTTAATGCATGCCTGGCAGGTTGTCGGTACTGATCCAAACACAACCTTGGCCGTCAACGAACACAGCTGAAGTTTAAAGCCACGGATCTAAACTTGACCTGATATGACAACTGTCGTCTAAAGACCAGAACGACGAGAACAGACAGCATCGGAAGAACGTCCAAAGCAAGCGCTGACTCATGCCGCTGACGTTTTGGGACCTCTTCAGACTCTTGACTGTGGTTACTCGCGAATCGCGAATAGGTTTGAAGGTCGGCAGGGCGCCAATTGCGCCTGCCAGACTCAGAGACATAAGCAACGAGAAGTGCAGCATTCACTGCCTTCCGAAGGAGTATGCATTCACTTTGATCACGGCACGCGTCTGTATCACTTTCCAGTTAACATGCTTGTTCCGCACCTGGCCATGCTTGTAGCCAGGCGCTGTCAGAAGTTCTCCGCGAGGATTCAAAAGGCCATGAGCAACGGACCATGCTTCAATCTGTACCCAGCTTCATGATGAATATGCTGGCACGAGATGCAGAAAAAATAATTAAGTGGCTCCTCGTAGTTGATCGGGCCGGATTTGAAACCCGGTCAAGGATGCCATGTGTCACTGTAAAGGGCAGACTCACAGAGGACACAATCCAGTAAGTGGGGGTGAAGCCTTCAACCTGCGTCTGAGTCATTCCGTCCATTTACATTATCCTTGATGTGAGTCTAGCTGCGACACGAAAATCGACATAGTACTGTACACAGCTGCAGGCACTTACACTGCAACACGGGAAGATGCAAAGGGGTACTCGAGCTTTGCAAATTCCTGTTGCCGTGGGAGTGTCTGCAGAGACGGTGGTGGCACGTCTCCTGCGATCAAGTCTTTGGATGCAGGCGCTGCAGGCTCAGGAGTCCCGAAAGCCGTCGCCAGCCTGTCTGCGAAAGAGTCACACATGCGACGAACACACGCATCTGGACAGTAAGCTTCAGACATAGTAGGCCCTGCGGCCCAGATACTCTTCAATTCGAAGTAGCTGGTTGTACCTGACACGGCAAGGTTCAACTGGCACTTTCCAGCTCGGCTTGGCATCGGCACTTTGCGACTCTTTCGGAACGGCAGGGGGCGCCGGTCCTGGATGAGTGCGAAGAGACGATCTGAGGCTGCCAAAATCCGCTCAGGCCGCTGCTTGATCTGGCCAGTGCTGAGGCCGACTGCCAGGTCCGCCTCAGCATCTTCAAGGCCATGCCAGAACAAATCAAGCCGACTGCCAGGGTCTCGGCAATGAATGTGTCCTCTGTCTCACCACTGCGGTGAGAAACCTTCCAAGCTTAGCATCGAATACGGCAATAGCGCCTTAACTTAACGAGTCTACTATCATGAGAGCTTGGCCATGACACCCCAGCCGTCTGCGTGGCTGTCAAGATAGGCTGTTACAGCCTGCAAGGCTGTGAGTTGCTGTGTGCGATGTGCACCTCATGCTGGGCCTCGCTGATGCTTCCAATCTGGTTGACCTTAAGAAGCAGGGCGTTGGCAGCCTGCAACAAGATTCGCAGTTGAACTGACACAAGCCACTCAAACTGTCCGCCTTGTGCTCCTTGGCATACTCAATCCTTTTCGGATTCGTAACAAGCCTCGCCAATCCCACACTGCATAAGGCTGACCCAGCCGCTTAGAATACACGACGGACGTCGCCATCTTAGAAGCTCGCAGGTCATCGCCAACTATCTGGACATCCTTGCCGACATCCTGTTTGAGCCACATGTACAACATCTCAGATTCAGACGCCATCTACATCTGGATGGCTTGCTCTCCAGAGGCTTGCAAAGCAGTGCCTGCACCATCTGGCCATACGCCTCCCAGTCATCCTGTGACTTAGACTGCAAGGCATTGGCAATCCTACACAGAGACTTCTGCCTGGTCAAAGGGATCCTCTATCGACACGATCGGATATCTGACAGACAGCCACAGCCAAGGCTACCACGGGGTAGCCATTGCAGTGAGCAAGATGATGCCCGGCGCCACCATGCCTGGAGATGATGTCCTTGTAGAAGTCCATGAGTTGATCTTTGTTCTTGACCAAGGAAGGATCTGGATTGTCAACCTGGCTGAATCCATCTGAAACGCTCGCCCACTCGCCTTCAAGATGGCCTTGAAGCCAAGGTTGTAGGTCTTGTCCTGCTCTTCTGTTATGAGGAAAACTCCACAACGGAGATAGTGAGGGAGACAGAGATGTTTCCCGACGCATGTGTATCTCAGCGCTTGCGTGTCAGGAAAGAGAAAGAGAGAGAGAGAGAGAGAAAGAAAATGAGTGAGAAAGAGAAGAGAGGGAAAGAGGGAACACGCTCCAACGCTCACGACAAGTCGGCAAGTCCTCATGACTGTAGAACTCCGATGCAGCAATGTCCATCGCAAGCTTCACCTCTGAACATGTCAGCCAGCTCCAACATGGACAGACATCGAGCTTCAGGTGCATCTTCTGCGGCCTTGCCAGTGTGGCCAGCTTCCTTGATCGCATCCACCAATGCCTGCAATCCCTCGTCGTTCTCCTTGGTTACTTGCAAGAGCACACGGAGCCGCTTTAATTTGGAAGCGGACGTTGGGTCCTGGATGTTCGGTGCAAAGCCACCTGGCAGTTGCATACAAGGGGCGCCGGCGCGCCAAAGCTCCCAACTGTGAGAAACGCGTTCACTGTGTAGCATTTTGAAAGTTTCCGTAGCTTCGTGAGGCAGCACGAGAACATACGACAACCGTACACTCCCGACAGTTCTGAATAATGCCTGACACAGCGCATTGTGCAAGTTTCCATCATTCCAGACTCGGAACCGGAATCCCTGCTGTAGAAGATTGGGCTTGCCGAACAATGAGGACGACTGTTGAAGCCATAAGCTGCCCAACCCCATGAGATCTCCTTGGACCCCCCGAGAGCTCTGCAAGCACCCAAGGTCACGGACTCAGCAAGATTGGAATCAGCAGAGTTCTTGGGAAGGTGAGCACCATAGAAGGGACAAACCGACCACGAGCATCCGGTCCACCACCACAACAACACCAACAGCAACAGCAACAGCTGCAGCAGCAGCAGAAGCAACGACAAGGACGACGACGACGACGACAACAAGGACGACGACCAGGACGACGACGACGCCGACGCCGACAACGACAGCCACAACCACAACGACGACAACAACGAGAACAACAACAAGAAGAAGAACAAGAACAATCACAACCACAGCAACAACCCCAACCGCAACCGCAACCGCAACCACAACTACCACCTTGCTTGTACGATTACCATTATCCATATCAGCATTGCTACTGTTATTACTACTGTTCTTGTTTTGTTGATGTTGCTATTCCTGCTATTTCATTTGTCCCCAAAAGAACCAAAACAAAAACTACCAGGGCACAAGAACCACAACAACCAAAACAAACCACGACCACTGTGGCGACGACGATAACCGCAACAACAACATCAGGCAGCAAGGCTCACAGCCGAAAAGTTGGGCAACTTCGGGGGCGAAAGCACTGGCAAAACATGCTCACTGAAGGGCCACCTGGATGTCACCAGAGTGGGGTTCTCAAACAAACCGAGTGGAGGCGTCGTGTTCTGCGCCTATATCAGAAAAGGGCCCCCGCCTCCGTTGTGATCTTCTGTCTGGGGATTACCGCGGAACCTAAAATGCACGACAGACCATTTGGGTAGGCCTAGTTCTACACATCTTGGCATGAGGGGGACAGGTCTTGTAGACATCACACAAAACCATCCGCTTGAATAGCACTGATGCATCAAACCTGCGTAAATGAAGGCTCTCAGATCCATAAAACGCGGCCAGTCCCCGAGTAGGCCCCCGTCTTACAGTGCTGGGGTGCAAGGCTTTCAAATCTCCACGAGCCCAACACAGTTTGCAGCATCGGCAACACAACTTCTGCAAGCCACCAGGGAGCTATCTTTCGTGTGATCAGCCCAAGCTGATGATTGAGGCAAATTCAGATCCACCTTCATCGCCGACTGCCGCCGCGGATTTGCCGTACTTGGCCACCACCACGTTCTTGAGTGAGTGATAGACCTGCGAAGAACGTATCTTTCTGTGCTGCAAGCAGGCCGCACGATGCATGGCGACTACACGGACCACCCGGCCCACCTCAGAGCCAATCTGCAGTGCCTCATTCAGGGAGTTCAATGAGTTAAACCAGGTCCCTTGATGATTCCACATTCAGACAGTCACTTTTGTATTCACGCAGGGAGGAATGCGATGAGGTGACGTATGGGTCTCCGAACTCGAAGACAAAAACTCTGCAGACAAACCGTTGCCGGTGCCGACATCAAGCACCGCACCTCCTTGAAGGTCTTGGCCCCCGTTGGAGAAATCATAAACTCCTTCGGGCACAAGCTAATAAGGTCATGCGAGGCACAAGAAGTGCAGTGATCTCGACTCCTGCATTGGCAGCTTGTTTCCGGCATGCCGGCCACCGTTGATTACATTCATCATCGGAACAGGCCTGCTGGACTTGCCCTCACTGAATTCATCAATGCTGGCCCAGCACGTGCATTACTCAGGTGCAGTCATCTTGTACTTCTTGTGCTTCGCACGCTGAACATCAACGTTTTCCACCTGACTCGATCTTCTTTCAGGGTTTGGGCTATATCTGGGAGTGGAGACTCGCACCTCAAAGCTAGTCTCCTTCAACTCACCAATGTATTCGAAAAGTTCCAGGCCTCGGCTGAGCAAAAGCCGAGTCTCATCTGTCACCGGGGTTGCCTTGGTGGCAAGTTGCCGAAAGCCTCTGCTCCTGCTCGGCAGATTGCCCTTGGCAAGGCATGGGCCGGCTAGGGCTGTGTTTTTGAGCTTTTCACCCGGCGAACAAATTCTGGGTTTCTGGCATTGAGACAGCAAGGATCCTGAGTCTCTGGTTGAAAAGGGCAAGGATTCCTACAAGTGCTGGTGCATGTTGAATTTTACGTGTGTTTTGTTGATTTTGCTGTTCTCTGAATGTGGTTTTGTGTTTTGGTACTCGGTGGAGGTATTGCTACAGTATCTCCATGGATTTGCATTGGGTTTGTTATGACCAGTTAAGACCGTCTTAAGACCCCTAAATTTGCTGTTGTGTGTTGGGGTTCACATTTCTTGTGTTGCTAATTAGTTATGTTGTTGTTGCTTTCTGAATGTATTCCGCAAAACGTGCCCTTCCTTGATTTACATTGCTTCTGGTCGAAAACACGCAACGATCCCTACACTTGACTTTGTATATTGATTGTTGAGTTGACTGAAGCAAGTGAGCGAGCGAGAGCAGGAGGAGAATGGGCGAGAGGCAGGCACAGAGAGACAGAGAGACAAACAGAGACAGACAGAGAAACGGTTAGGGTCAGAGTGAGAGTGAGAGAGAGAGAGAGAGTGAGAGTAAAACAGTGAGAGAGTCAAAGAGTGAGAGAGTGAGAGCGTGAGAGAGAGTGAGGGTGAGAGTGAGAGAGTGAGAGAGTGAGAGAGTGAGAGAGTGAGAGAGTGAGAGAGTGAGAGAGTGAGAGAGTGAGAGAGTGAGAGAGAGAGAGAGTGAGAGAGAGAGAGAGAGAGAGAGAGAG